TCCCAACCCATGAAGACAGACTCGACGAGTTGTTCATAAAACTCGGCGATTCATAGACTGGACACATTCATATGATGAAGATGAACTCGACGAGTTCAAGTATGAACTCGGCGAGTCGGTTGAAGATAGTCCCGATGTTATGGTTGAAGGTGAAGTCGTCGAGTTCTTGCTAGACTCGACGAGTAGAGTCGGGGGTTGTATTATTTTGAAAGAACAGGGACTCGACGAGTTGGTGGACCAACTCGGCGAGTCAAGTCAACTGGATGTTGACTTTGACCAAAGTTGACTTTGACCAAGTTTGACCTAGTTTGACATTTGAGGGTATTCTAGTATAAGTGATATTTTGGGTATTGATAGTTCGGGGAGTCGAAGGATCAACAATTCAGGAGCTGCCGGTTAGCAGCCAGAAGTTTCAGCTAGTCTTCAGCAGTGCGAGGTGAGTTTCCTCCAGTAGGAATGGGTCTAAGGCACCAATGCCGGCCCGTTTAAGTAGTAGAGTATGCCGGGGGAGCCCGATGTCGGGGTTAGCCCGATGCAGTTTATATGTTTCCGGACCTCGATCCGATGCCGGGGCGGTCCCGAGAAGTAGTTAAGTATGCTTGATGTCTTTGTGATTCATGCATGTATATGTGTTATGTGTTATGTGTTCCGGGCTTCGGTCCGATGTCGGGCAAGCCGGATGCAGTATATGCGATTATGTTCTATGTTATGTGTTAAGTGTTCCAGGGTAAGCCCGATGTCGGGGCAAGCCTGATGTATGTTAGTTATTATGCCATGCATTATATGTTCCGGGGCAAGCCCGATGTATGCTAGTTTATATGTTATGATTATATGTTCCGGGCTTCGGTCCGATGCCGGGGCAAGCCCGATGCAGATCATGTGATTATGTTATGTGTTTATGATATATGTTATGATGTGTATGTGCCGGGGTAAGCCCGATGCGGGGGCAAGCCCGATGCCCGATGTGGTCGGATGTCGGGGTGAGCCCGATGCCGGGCAGGAGTCCGATTGTGACATTCCCAAAATCACGGCCAGAAAAGACCGGTTTCAATTTATGCTTTTTAAAATAATTTCAGAGTAAATCCACTGATTTAAAAGAGCTGCGGAATTTGTTCCCAACACAAAATATGATAAAATAAAGTTTATCAAAGCATTTCATCAAGAGATGCATTTTCATTATATAACAATATTCGGGATGTCATGTTCCGATAAACAGACCAAAAGCATAAACAACAAAAGATAGACCATACAACAGTTACATATAACAACTGGTCTAATATCAAAAGATCTTGATAAGTCATCCAACTTATGCTCTCGCGCCACTACATGTAATACAACAAAACTAAGTGGGTCAGGCTTGGGAGCCTGGTGAGCATATTGGGTTTTCAACCAACAATAAATAATTATATTTAATTTCACCAACCAACAATAACCCGATTACCCATTCCCGTTATCCTCACTTTACGTCCCTAAAACAACATCTATCTCAAGGGACCTAATCTAGGAATTTCATCGGGATGGACTTTACCACGAGGGGTTTCCTCAGCAATAAAAGTCCTAAGGCAACAATGAGGGGGATAGAGTACACCGGTGAACACATCGTTCACAACACCTACAGGTTATGAGCCTGCTAGCGTTCCACAGGACTGTCTAGAAAGTGTCCGTGGTCATTATCCATACTCCGCTGGATAACTAGATCAACAACAACAACATCGAGGCCTCTCATCTGTTTATCACACATCAACTATCTACCCATGTTCTACCCAACATATTAGTAGATAAAAATATATATATTTTTATACATAGTTTAAAACCTGTATAGCATTCTCATTCAATACATATTCCAAACAACATATGAGACACATACACATAACACGTATTTCATAGAGAATAAATCATATCTATGAGATAGAAGAAAGTGAATATACATTCACACATATAAACATATACACATAACACGTATTGCGTATCAAATACTTCAAATTATGTGTTAGAAGAAAGTAACTACACGCTCACTTGATCAGAAGATGATCGGATAGCACTACGGCTTGTAGAAGTAGTATTCTTCGGTAGATCTGGAAGATCTTCACAAAAATTGGCTTCTCGCTGGCAGAGCTTCGGCTCGGGAATTGCACTTCTCGGGATCTTCGGGATTCGGGACTCACTTCGGGTCTCGGGATGATACCGGGGCTTCGGGGGGTTAAAATAGGGCTTAGAGAGAGTATCGGGAGTGAGAGAGTAAGAGAGGAGCAACCAAAATCGGCTGACCCTTGAATTCTATTTATAGGGTCATTTTTCAGCTCTCACGTCGTGAATTTTAAGTTCTCACGTCGTGAACTTAGTCGTCATTGCATGCGTCATCACAGGTTGCGTCTGACAGGCTCTGGAAGGTCAAATCACTGAGTTCACGTCGTGAACACTGTATTCACGTGGTAAACTCTGACACAGTATCGGGGTTCGCACCCCGAACTTCAGAAATTCATAACTTTCGCATACAAGCTCTGTTTTCGACGTTCTTTATATCGACGCGTAGGTGAGATTATGATCTACAACTCTCGTTTAGACTCCGTCGGCTAACTTTGACTTTAATTTTAATATATTATTAATATATTATTTTTAGTAGGCCGGGACAGGAAAACTCCGTTCGAAATTCATAACTCCTTCATCTGAACTCTGTTTTCGTCTGTCTTTTTATCGTTGGACTACTATCGATGAGATCTTCAATTCTCATTTAGAAAGTTTTGGCTAAATATCACTCGATCTCTATTTCGAGTATTCGGGCTGCATACCGCTAAGTCGAAACTTCGAAAAATCATAAATTCCTCATACGAAGTCAGATTTAGACGTTCTTTTTATGCACGCTCTCGGTTTAATGTATTCTACGACTTTCATTTAGATGACTAAGGCTAGATCTCGCTCTATCTTAAATTCATATTTTACGTCATTCAGCGTCGTGGCGGTTCTGTCGCGAAACTTCGACAGGTCATAACTTCTTCGTTATAACTCGGATTTCAGCATTCGCTATATATTAGAAAACCTCGTCACGACCACTACCACATCCTTCATAGATATCGAGTTTATCTAACATTTCATTTTGACGCTCATTTTTATCCTTAATTCAATTAAGCCACACAATTAAGCATAAAAGACATAATACTCAAATAATACATTCGTATTATTCCAAAATGGGTTACAAAGGTTAACCTAGACTATTACAACAACATTAATGCCTACCCAGAAACACGGGCGTTACACCGATGCCGGGATTCGTCCCGATGTAGTTGGAAGTAGTCCCAGAGTTATGTGATTGTTATATGTTATGTGTATGGTGTGTGGTAGTTTGGGGGAGCTCACTAAGCTTCGTGCTGACGGCTTTTTCAGTTTTGGTTTCAGGTGCTTAAGTTTTCAAATGAGGAGCTCGAGAAGATTGCAGTGCACACACCATTTGTTCAGCCTGGGTTGTTTATACTCTGATATATTTGACAGATGTTATTATGTTCTTGAGATATACGATTTATGATTGATATGTTGAAAGATAATTATGATTTTATTAATGATTTAAAACGAAATTTTTGGACCGTATTTTTGGGATGTTTCATAGAATGAGGAGAAATTGAATACAAATACGATTACCTTCAAATTATGTTATCTATACAGTTAGCCTTGGTTGTTATGTTTTTTGATTATTTAAATGATTATTCTAGTTAGTCGATCTATTTGATCCGCCTTTATATACTTTCATTTAAGACTGATTAATGAGAAGATACTGATGTATTAGTACACTTCTATTCTATTCCCCATGTGTTCAACACCCTTACTTACCTAAGTTATGTTGTCACTGAATAGGTCCACTGTCTGGTGTAGATAATTAGTTTGGTTTGTTAGAAATGATAAATATAAAACTAGATTTGTATTTTCAAGTATATGTCTTTTATGTCACAAGTTTTTGTAACGATTATGAGATGGAATGGTTTTAAAGTTATCTCAAGTTTATATACTATCTTTTACACATCAATTTTACAAAGTAAAATGGATGGAAAGCGCCATTCTACAAAATAAAAGGATGAAAATGCCAATATACAAAAGTCTAATTCCAAATATGCCTATATAAGAAATTTTTGTGGCCAGAGTATGAAATAAAAAAGTAGATTTGTGGCCTGAGTGTGAAATGAGAAGCTTTTGTAACCAAATTATGAAAAAAAAAAAAAGTTTATTATTCATAAATGGGTTGGTTTTTATTGTTAAAATGTTAGAAAGAGTTATTCTACAAAATAAGGAGAGGAAATTGCCAATATTACTAAGGTCTAGAGACCAAATATGCCAATATAAAAAAAAATTGTGGTGAAAGTATGAAATAAAAAGAGCAGATTTGTGGCCAAAATATGAAATAAAAAACTCTTGTGACCAAATTATGAAAAAACAAAAGTTTACTATTCATAAATTGGTTTGGTTTTTATTATATGTAATAATAAAAAAGTAGATTTGTGGCCTGAGTGTCAAATGCGAAACTTTTGTAACCAAATTATGAAAAAAAAAAGTTTATTATTCATAAATGGGTTGGTTTTTATTGTTAAAATGTTAGAAAGAGTTATTCTACAAGATAAGGAGAAGAAATTGCCAATATTACTAAGGTCTAGAGACCAAATATGTCAATATAAAAAAAAATTATGGTCAAAATATGAAATAAAAAGAGCAGATTTGTGGCCAAAATATGAAATAAATTGGTTGGTTTTTATTATATATAATAATAATTTCAAGCTAATCCATTTGTTTAGTTAGTATTACTTGTTAAATTATCATCGCTACTTTTTCAGCCATATTATATACTGTTTCGTTTTATTAATAAAGAATATTAAAGATCATTTGTTAAAAAATACATAAGTCAACCATGCGAACCCAATATCCGAGTAGTATGTTGATGAACATGAGCACTTTTTGTTGGGAAAAAAGAAAAAAATATATATATACACCAAAGGTGGTTGTTGTCGTATTTGGAGATTGTAACTATAAAAAGTGGTCACATTTAACATCTAACACCATCAAACCTCAGCTCTACTTGAAAACATTCCAACCTCGATAACAATCAACACTTCCTCAAATTTTATTTGATCGACACCATGGGTGAAGCCGTTATGTTCCCTCTCACCTTTGATCACCATGAATCGAAAGGCATCATACCCGAGAATATGAACGGGAATGACGATTCATGGTTTGAAGAAGTTATCGATGATGATCTTAAATGGTCTTTCGCTTTAAACAGGTTTCATACATCTCCCTTTTTCTCGGTCTTGTTTGCTGTGTGTAAGGGTTGTTTGATGACTTCTGAACAAAACCATTCAGAGGTCACCTCTGAATTGGGCAGCATTCAACCTGCTTGATAAAACTTCTGTACAAAACAAAAGTGTCTGAATTGTTAAATAACCATACTTTCTCTAAACCAGTATCAGATTTCAATATTTCAACACTAAATTTTTCACTTTTATCAAACAGTCAAAATCTAACAAACTAAGACAAAATATTAAACTTACATGTATTTTTAAGTAATTCTATATTCTTTTCCATCTTGAAAGCGTGCTGCATAAAGTGATAAGCGAGTATCAAGACATAGTTCTCTTGGATACAAAGCACTTTGGAAAGGTATATTATGATCATGAGCTTAAGGGCTTAATTTTTCAAATATAGTATACTCAAGGGATGCGATATAATAACTAATGAAATTGATTTAATTTATATGTAATGTATAGGCGTTGGTAATTGATGGGAAGATGCAAAGTGCAGAAAGCGACGAGTTCATATACCATGAATGCTTGATTCATCCTCCTCTTTTATCTCATCCCAAGTAATTTCCAGTGTAACCCCTTTTTCTATTTAATATGTTTTCCACCTTTTTCATTTGAGAAAATCTTGCGTTTTGATAAATATTTAAATTATACGAAATGAAAATAATATAACATTTACATGAACGTAAAATGTAAAATGTTATCTATATTCCTTATTGTAAACATAGATGAAAAGTTGAAATCTTCAAAGTGGACTTGGTAACCTCATGTTGATGTTTCCAACAATTATATGTTTTTACAGCCCAAAAGCTGTGTTCATAATGGGAGGTGGTGAAGGGTCTACTGCTAGAGAAGCACTTAAGCACAAGTCCATTGAAAAAGTAGTCATGTGTGATATTGATCAGGTTTGTCAGATGTTCATCCTCATTATATACTCACATGCAAGATTATGATAACACTTTATAATCCAACTTACAAATATAAACTATATATTGATCAATGTTTATGCAAAAAAACAAAATGGTAAAAATTACTAATTTTACAAATGCAGGAGGTGGTTGCCTTCTGCCGTGAACATCTCACTGCAAATAAAGAAGCCTTCTGTAACAAGAAGCTTGACCTCATCATCAATGATGCCAAGTACGTCTTCGGAACACTTCTTGAAACACGATGCTACTGATATTATAATGACGTCATTATAATATGAGGACCCATTTTATCATAACACTATACTTTTTATCCGAGTGTATGACGTTGTTAATGCGGAATTTTTGACTTTTGTATTTCGTTTATATCATTTTTATTGATAAAAGGATTGAACTAGAGGAGAGGAAAGAGAAATTTGACATAATAGTCGGAGACTTGGCTGATCCAGTTGAAGGGGGGCCTTGCTATCAACTTTACACAAAGTCCTTTTATCAGGAGATCCTCAAACCTAAGCTTAATCCCAATGGAATCTTTGTTACACAGGTTCTTTATTGTGATCTTTTACCTAAAAGTACATAAAAAGAAGGGAATATTTTAGTATACTAAAATCAATAAACAAACAAATAATAAGTGGGACAATTAAAAAGATGAAATAAAGGCTTATGGTTGCTTTTGGTTAACATGCAGGCTGGACCTGCAGGGGTGTTTACACACCAAGAAGTGTTTTCATCTATTTACAACACCATCAAGCAGGTCTTCAAATGTAAGAGCAACAACTTTAACCAAAGCTTATATAAAATTTAAAAGATTGTCACATTATTATCATAATTTTTATATAGCACTATCGTTTTTTCTTATAACAAATTAATCTCTATAAAGTTTAATGAAATATATTTACCAAAAAAATATTATTACAAAAAAAAGTTAAGTAACCTACTAATACTACGGTTAAGTTTAATCCATTGAATGTTAACTTGACTCAATTTTTATGATACGTGGTTGCAGATGTGGTAGCATACACTGCACATGTGCCTTCTTTTGCTGATGAATGGGGATGGGTTATGGTTTGTTTTCTAGTTTGAACCCTTTGGTTTTTCTTTTCCTTTTTTGGTGGAAAAGACCAAATGAAGTGTGTTTATTCTTGGTTTAGGCATCAGATGCACCGTTTTGTATCGAGGAAGGGGAAATAGACAAGAAAATACGAGAAACAATCAAGGGAGAATTGTTGTATTTAGATGGTGCTTCATTCTGCTCCTTAACAGTTCTTAACAAAATGGTTTCCTCAACGTGAGTCAATAAGCTATTCATCTACCCCTTATACTATACATGTGAAGGTTTTTTCATCTAACATACATTGAAATTCTTTTGCTTCCAGATTGAAAAGTGAGACTCATGTGTACACCGAGGATAATGCAAGGTTCATTCATGGCCAAGGAGTTGGGAAAAAGTGAAACCTTTAAAAGGTTTTCTTATGTTTATCTTCTTTAGAGAACAAATCAAGATGTAAACATTGCTAAAATTATTTGGAATTGGGATTTGGGAGTTTCTAGTTTATAAAATATACACCCACGAATGGTTTCACTTGCTGTCCTTTCTCGACTTCGCAATTTTTTAATTTTGCTTTCACTTTCGTGGTTGCATAATTCATCTGCTAGCGTGCTTATTTTGATAATTATTTAAGAGGGTAGCATGGTATCGGCTTACGGCAGTAGCTACCAGATCTATTAAAAAAAATTAGGTGTGATGATGACAAGTTAAAAAGTGGCCTCCAACCCTTTTTTATGATAGAAAACTTTAATCATATTATAAAAAGTAAATTGTACAATTCCAAAATTATCATGGAGCATGAAAAGTTAAAAATTCAAAATATATATATATATATATATTATATATATATATATATATATATATATATATATATATATATATATGGTAAGGTTCAATAGAGATATATAATTAACCAAAAAACTAAGAAACTAATTTTTAAAACTTATTTTTTATCTAAACTTTTTATCATTTTTCCAATGATATCAAATTCGATAAAAAAAATTTCGTCAAATTCACAATGTGAATCTTTGAATATTCACAATGTGAATCTAAATTTACACGGTAAATCCGAAAAATATATTTAACATTCACAATGTTAAGTTATAAATTTAGAAAATTTTAGTTTTTTTTTTCGATAAAGATAAGCTTTAGAACTTGAAAAAAAAATTTGGTTATTTAGAAACCATAATATATATATATAGATATATATAGATATATACTATATATATAGAATATATATATCTATATATATATATATATATATATATATATATATATATATATATAGAGAGAGAGAGAGAGAGAGAGAGAGAGTTCAAATGAGAACCATAAAAGATTAAGAACCCTAAGAACTCATATTTCATAAATAAATATGTATTGTGAATACTTATTAAATATGTTAAAAGTCATGATATTTGTCTTTTTGGTAAGAAAATCACAAAATCTTAATTTTTATTGTCTAAAACTTTAACTTATCCATTCATTCTTATTTTAACACACAAATTATATAAAATACAACTTTATACGGTCCATTTATAGTTTTATATACAAAATTCACAACTTAATACAATCTATTTTACATTAATTCACGTATTAAGAAAAGTTAAACAAAAATTTATCGCCGCCACAATACGCTGCCATCAACCATTTATGTCACCGTTGCAGTTACAATTCATTCAAAATCATATTTGTATATAAAGTCATGCATTTACAGCTTAAATATTATATTCACAGTTTGATAAACATATTAATTCATTTAATCTAAATTTTATGCATAATAATTAGCTAATCTAATACATTGTTACATACTTATATAAAAACATATATATATATATATATATATATATATATATATATATATGATATATATATCTTATATATATATAATATATATATATTCACAAGAAAACTAATAGAAAAATTTATACACAAATCATTAATATTTTAACACAAAATTATATCAAAAATTCACAATTTAATACAGTAAATTACAATTTAATACACAAAATTCACAACTTAATATAACAAAATCATAATTTAATACACATAAAAGTTATATATTCGTAACTTAAAACTTATATTTATAATTTCAGATAAAACATTCACAGTTTAATACAGTCAATTCACAGGTTAATACACAAAATTAACAGTTTAATACAATAAACTCATAGTTTTATACACAAAATTATATATTCACATCCATATTCTCAACTTAAAACTTATATTTTCACGTTCATATCTGGAGGAATTTATGTGTATTAAAATGTGAAGTTATTATATTAAGTTGTGAACAAAATTCACAACTTCATATACAAAATTTATAGTTTAATACACTACATTCACAACTTATTTACATGTACAAAATTCACCGTTGCAGCCACTATTCACTCAAAATCATATATTTATAGCTTAAATAATATATTCATAGTTTAATAAACATACTAATTCATTCAATTTGAATATAATACATAACAATTATCTAAAATCTAATATATTCTTACATACTTATACAACAAACAATAAATAAATATATTCACAAAAAAATTAATATAAAAATTCATACACAAATCATTAATATTTTAACACAAAAGTATATAAAAATTCACAGCTTAATGTAGTAATTCAAAGCTTAAAATGTGAATTTATGTGTATTAAAATGTGAATTTATATTTTCATGTTCATTTCAGGAGACATTTATGTATATTAAAATCTGGATTTATTATATTAAGCTGTAAATAAAAATCACAACTTAATATACAAAATTCATGGTTTAATACACTACATTCACAACTTATTTACATATATTAAATTCAGATATGGATAACAAAAAATTCAGAATTCACAGTTTAATAAAATATTTCATATACTATATTTCAAACATTAAAATTCACAACTTAATCCATAAAAAAATTATAATTTATAGTATCATACACACTTTAGATAGTAATTCACAGCTTAATACAAAATTTTAAACACTTGTTTATAACTTAAAAACTTACAAATATCGTTGAAACATTTCATCAAACACCTTATGTGAATATTGTTTTGGATTTGATGTGATTTACAGATCTCAGTTTTCCATGTTTCTTAGAGTCTCCGGACATAACAGATCTGAGCAGATCTAACCAGATCTGAGAAATCGTTGTGTCTTTGACTTCAGATCTAAAAAGATGATGGCAGATGAGGAGTTTTGCGATAGTCTGAGGCGAGGTGTATGCCTGAAATTGCACCAAACACATCAAATCTGGTCTATCTGGCATCGTCTGTGACATCCCCATTTTCACGGCCAGAAAAGACTGATTTTGTTTATGCTTTATAAAAATCAGAGTACCCTTTTGTAGAAATGTGTTGCGGAATTTGTTCCCGGAAAAACATGATAAATACGTTATCAAAGCATTTCCGAAGAAATGTATTTTTATTCATTTTCAAAACATTTGGGATGTCATCGTCAATACAGAAACATAAGCATAAACAGAACTTACATTCATTTACACTAGTGATCTACATCTCTTTTAAATCTCTCAGTGTAAAGTAGCTTCATATCAACACCTGTGATAGAAATAAGCTGGAGTGGGTCAGGTTGGGAAACCTGGTGAGTACATAGGGTTTTCAACCCACAATAATATAATTATTATGTTTAATCATCAAACAATTAACCCAATTACTCATCCTCATTATCTTCTTTACTCTTAAGGATTTACCCTAAGAATTAGTTATTCGTCGTTCATTCTTTCCTAAGGATTATCCTAAGGAATAGACACGAAATCCATCGTTGCCAGGATTTACTCAACAGGCACTAAATCCATAGTTGCCAGGGTTTGCTCATCAGGCACTAAATCCATAGTTGCCAGGGTTATCTCGTTTATCGACAGTATCATTTCCGAGAATCCACTCGCAATACATGTCAATGGGTTTTTATCTCATTTATCGACATTATCGTTTCCGAGAATCCACTCGCAATACATGTCAATGGGTTTTTAGAGTACAGCTGGTGAATACACAGTTCAAAATACCTACAGATTATGAGCCTGCTAGTGTCCACTGGACTGTCTAGAATAGTCTGTGGTTGTCATCCATACTCTGCTGAATGACGGGGCCAACACATGGGTAAAAGGCTTCTCTCATGGTTTACCTCTCACCCTTATCTCATGGTCTATATCACCTCTCATCATTTTTTTTTGTCACACAACAACTATTTCATCTACCCATGTTTTACCCAACACATTTTGTAGATATAAAATACATATACAGTTTAAATCATTTAAAACATGTATCAAATCTTTCACCCATCATACACGGTAAGTATACAGACA